TATAATATATATATATATATAAATTGTAATACTAATATATATATAAATAACTTAATATTAAAAAAAAAGTTTAAAAAATTCGGGCAATTCGGGCGGGCTCGGGCCGCCGAATACAAGCCCGCGGCCCATTCAAGGTGAAATTTGTGCTCGGGCGGGCGGCCCGAAAATCTCGGGTGGGTCGGGTTCGGACTCGGGCAAATCCTCGAGCTTTTCGGACGGTCGCGGGCGACCCGTCCAAAGTTCAGCACTAAGGTCTATAGCTTCAATCTCCCTTTTCCAGTAATTATTATCGGGGCTAGTGTAGCAATGAAAGATGATTTTTCAGTACTCTCACTTAGTATTTAGAAGACAATCTTTTAGTACTCTCACCTAGCATTTAGGACGATACAATTTAATCTCCCTAAATAAATAAATAAATAAATATATATATATATATATATATATATATATTAGGGCTCTTCTTTCACTTAGCATCCAATGATTGATTGTCGTTATACATGAGGAAGTTGAAATTTTCTCTCATCACCCTGCTCACTGAATATGGCTTGGACTGAAGTCATTAAAAAAATGTGGGCTAAATTTTGTTTCGTTCTATTTGTAGTAATTCTGGAAGAATGTTAATGGCTTATAAGTAAGGTTCTATTTGTAATTCTGATAGATTGTTAATAGCTTATAAGTAAGGTTCTATTTGTAATTCTAGTAGATTGTTAATGACTTATAAATAAGGACGTGAAGACACCACTTTCTTTTTTATTCAGGACAAGAAATCTCCCTACCCAAATTACTAAAAACAAATGTTAATAAATTAATAAATTTGGTATAGAGCCACATTATCTATCAGTCAAATCGTCTCAAATCATTATCTATGGACTTCACATCGTGCAAGATTGTGCATGCCTTGCAATTTTTGTCCTTTTTGGCTTTTTTTTTTTTTAAATATGTATTAACCATTTTCTCTCTCTCGTTTTTTTTTTTTTTTTTTTTTTTTTTTTTTTTTTTTTTTTTTGCAATTTCTGAAAAGAAAGGAAAGAAAACGAAAAATGGTTCGGGCACCGACGCGGATGGCCTATTTTTCCAGCGGCTGTTTGAAAAAGGTTTGAAAAGTCTTTGATTATTTGGTAAGTTTTATCTAAAGCTAATTATCTGGCAAAGCTCACATCCGGAAAAATATTGTCCTTATTGAGGTGTAAATAACATTATGTTAGGATTGGTGTCTAAAACAAAAATATATTATGTACCTACATTTATCATATAATGATATTATGTTAATTGTTCTTCTTTTTTAAGAAAAATAGATTCTATATCAAGGCAATACAAACATTAATACTAACTCATCCAAACTCAAACTACAAGAGAGTTAACGATTTTTATAAACGTCAAGCGTCACAAGTAAATTCAAATGCAGCGCTCAAAAGGAATACAAACTCGTAAAGAGTTCTAGACCTCTCTTATCAACCAATTAACTATTTATAGTTTAATTATCTATGCCCCTCTCTTAATTAATTATTTGATATTTAGCGTTTAATAACTGAGCTGTATTTAAGTTATATTTTTTGTCATAATTAATAAACCGGTTCACACGACCTATACACCAATGCCTACCGTTTGTCTAATAATAAAACGACACGTTCTTCACAATTTGCAACGTTAAAACGACTAGTCGTTGCATCCCTTGCTAAAGCGCGCGAGAAGGCGCTTACAAAAAGCTCCCCTTTTCTCGCTTTCAATTTGAAATTAACCATTTGCGGCTTCTACCGAAGGTTCTGCTCTCTCCTTCCTCCTTTGATTGTTTGGTTTGCGGGAAATTGCACGAGAAAGTCAAGCAGAAAATTTTTCTCTTCTAGACTGATTTGTAATTCCAATTAGTTTTCCAGAGACGAGTTTCTTACAGTAAATGCAGAAACAGTAACATGAATTGATCTATTTTACTCGGTTGAGACCAAACGGATTCAATTGATTATTCCAATCCAAATTCCGTTTCCTTTGTTTATTTCCTCGCAACCCAAACAGATCGTCTTGCTTTTAAGTGTAGGAATCCTGATTTCTCCTTTCTTTTTTCCTTCGTTTTCATTTTCTGGATTTACTTTGTTTAGGTTGGAATTCGTTTGCTCAAAATGTCGCATATGAAAGTTTGTGTTCGGTTCAGACCTTTGAGCACTAAAGAGAGAAGCGACGGCGGTGATTCAGTCTGCGTCCACCCCGTCGACGCAGAAACTTTCAATTTCAAGGTTTTCCTGTTCGAATCACATTTTTTTTAACTTGAATCTTCCTCAAAAAAGTGATGGTATAGTTGTAGAATTCAACTTCGGAAATTGAATTTGGATATCAATTGCAGGATGAGAAAGATGAAATTTTCACTTTCAGCTTCGATAAGGCATTCTACGACAACTCTGAGCAAGCTCAGGTCTACGAATTTCTAGCTCTGCCTATTGTCCGAGGTATAACTCAGACTCGCAACTCTGTTTGGGTGCTAAGAAAACCCTAGAAAAGCAAAAATGTACAAAACATTAAACGTCTTCATATTTGGGAGCCTTAATCGCGTTCCTTGAATTGAATAACGGTTGTATCCTTTTGATTTATGTTTTCTTTTTCATTGACATTGCCTCAGTAGCCAAACTAAGGAAAGGCGTTACTGCAAATGGTCTTCGTTTGTTACTGATTTTTATTTATTTTTTTTAACTCTATGTGGCAATGATCGCAATTTTCTTCTGCTCTTCTACGTTCATGTTTTCTTGTTACCAATCAGATGCTGTGAGTGGCATTAATGGGACAATCATTACATATGGACAGGTACATCTCACTTTCCAACAGTGTTCTTTCAAGTATGCTTGGATTTTTTACATAAAAAAGATTATGTTTGTTTGTTTTTATGCATTTTGACTTGTTCTATACTATTTGATGTCTCTATTACTGTTTTATTCTCATTATAATTGGCAAACTTTTTGAATAACAGACTGGAGCAGGGAAGACATATAGCATGGAGGTATGTTATGACTTATACCACCAACACCAAAGTATAACTTAAGATAATTGAGTCTGGATAGCTTATTTTCTTCTTGTGAGCAGGGGCCTGGCATACTAGAATGTGATGAGCAGAATAAAGGGTTACTTCCCCGGGTAGTTGACGGAATATTTGAATGCATTCACTCTTCTGAAGAAGCAATCGAATATTCCGTTAAGCTGTCAATGGTATTGAGAATTCCAGACCTACTTCTGTTTTTGTAATGGGCTGTAGTTATTTCATGGTCTCTATCATCATGCATTATCTATTCTTGTTTCATTTTAGGTAGAGATCTACATGGAGCGAATAAGGTATGCATCATTTTCATAACTGTAGCTAGTACACTGCATCTTTTCAACCATATTCTCTGCTATAATCAGATAAAAAAAAAACTGTGCTATAACCTTCTTGATAAAGAAGTCTTATAAGTCAAAGAAATGTTCCAATAACTGCAGCCTCAGTCTTAATGTCACTGTCCATCTTCGTGCTCAGGGACCTGTTAGATTTAGCAAAAGATAATATACAGATCAAGGAGAACAAAGCTCAAGGAATTATCTTACAGGGAGTAACTGAAGTATGTTTGCCTCCTCATGATTATAGAAGCAAAACTTTAAATTCATGGTTGGCTTTAACGATAATATTTAAGGTTACTGCTCGGGTTTGGTGATCACGAGAGTATGAGTGGTTAACTAATTCACTAATGGTAGCATCTTTTCCCGAGAAATGGTCTTATTTTCAGATAAATTTGAATGACTAACTGGTATGACCATGCATGCACACATTCACACACGGCTGCTTAGGCTTCTCTTTGATGATCGAGCGGATTGTAATCTTTATAATTGGAAGATGACTGAATAGGACTAGAAGCTAAACATCAGAATCTTCTATCTTCTCTATTGTATGAGATTGTACTCTTCCACTTGTACCGTATGATGAATTATTTATGCGAAGAGCTCAATCTTATGTTACAGAAAAAGCTGGATCAAGATTATCTATCTTCTCTATTGTATGAGATTGTACTCTTCCACTCGTACCGTATGATGAATTATTTATTCGAAGAGCTCAATCTTATGTTACAGAAAAGCTGGATCAAGATTATTAAATACTTTTGATGTTGAGGCACTTCAGTCTATATGTTCTTTGACTAAAAAGAGCCTCTTATTTTCCTATTTCCAGATCTCCATTGCAGATCCGGCAGAAGCATTGCAAACCCTAGCCGTAAGATAGAATCGCTCTCAAATCTCATTTACTTTTTTACTTCTTATTCTTAATAAGCATTCTAAGCCGAAGATTGAACAGCAGAGCGGGATAGCTAACAGAGCTGTTGGGGAGACCCGTATCCTGCTTTATTTTTTAAAAGAGAGCAATGTAAAAAACGCCTTTGTTTCTCCATTGGAAGTCTCTCGTCTCCTTTTAGTAATCACATTATGTTTCCTAGCCTCACTATAATAGAAATGAACATGGCTAGCAGCAGAAGCCACTGTGTTTACATTTTCACAGTTCACCAAGGACTTGTGCAAAGAAATAGGTATTTAGTTCTCCTCGTCATGTTGTGTCAGGCTTTTGGTTGAACTGTATTGAGCATTTGAGACGTTGGACAGGGCAAAACCTGGGAAGTTGCTTCTTGTGGACATGGCAGGCTCTGAGAAAGTAGAAAAAACCGGAGCTGAGGGAAGAGTCCTTGATGAAGCCAAGACTATCAACAAGTCCTTGTCAGCCCTTGGCAATGTGATAAACGCTCTTACGTGTGGTTCAGCAATTAAAGCATATTCCATATAGGGATTCAAAAGTTACTCGGATTCTACAAGATGCCCTTGTTAGTTCCCTCCCTTTTGGTTCGTGTTATATTTCCATTAAATTCAGAATGAAGGTGTGTTGATATTTACTTTCAGGGTGGGAATTCACAAACTGCTTTACTATGTTGTTGCTCGCCAAGTCCTTCAAATGCAGCAGAGACACTGTCCACTCTTAGGTTCAGTGCAAGGTGATTGTTCAACTTCGCCAAATGCATTCTATTACCACATTATTTCTAATCAAGGAAAAAAATAAAAACAAATAAATCAAAGTTAAAGAAACTTGATTTAGGCATTTAGCATGCCACTCAAAATGCTCTTTTTCTGAAGGAAGGCACTTTTTGATCAATTTTATGATCAGTGTTTCGCAATATGACATTTGACAGGGCAAGTCATGTAAAGGTGTCGATGCTCGTCAAGTGCAATCAAGATGAAGCCGCTAAAAAAGGGAAAGGAGTTCCTTCTCCAACTAAAGATGAGTCAATGGAGAGGATTCTAAACAAGGTTAGGACTGAGATCTGTACTTCCAGAGGTAAATCATCATTATGAGGTTATGATTTAATGTTCATCATATAGTTGCGGGAGACCATTGACGTCGAATCTGTGGATTTACTTGAGGAGTTGTTCATAGTGGAAAAAGTTTTCTTCGATCTTAATTCAGAGGAAGAGGTCAAGGCAGCATATGAGGATTGTGTTACAAAGAAAATTACATCATTGCAACAAGCAGAGGAAGAGCTTGTGCTAGAGGTTCAGGAGGTAAGCCTAACATGCGTTGAACAATTTATATACGAGTTTTTAGCTCCCCCCAAAAGAAATGTATAATCGGATTCTCAAAGTGCGTGTCCAGTAGAATTCACATATTTAGAACTTTGGTCCAAATCCAACTAAAAGGGTTCTTTCCCATCACTTGCTTATAGAAGTGGTCTTAAAAGTATCATTGAAACTACATTATTTGATTCAGATAAGTATGAAATTTCTAGTTGTGCTTCTACAGCTTAAGATGGAGAATAAGGCTCTCAAGGACAGGATAGCAGCTCTGAACAGGTCTCGAGCCCTCTTCAACAAGGCCGGAGGAACTTCAGCTCATCTAAAAGCGTTACTGCTTGTCAAGTGCAATGAAGAAAGTAAATCCACTAAAAGACACGGAGGAGTTCCTACTCTAGCTAGAGATGAGTCACGTGATAAACTTCTAAACCGGGTTAGAACTCATCTCTTTAATTCCTGACCATATTTTTTTCAATCATGGTTATAACACAATGCCTTCAGGAAAGTTAATTTCGAACAGAGTTGTGTGGAAAAGTGAAATCTATATAGCCGATCCCAATTAATTGAGATTAAGGCTTTTTGTTGTCGTTGTTGTATGGTTATAACACAATGCCCGCAATATGTAGTTGATGGAGAGACTTGACGTTGAAGACGTGAAGTTTCTAGAGGAGTTGTTCGTACAGGAAGGGATTCTCTTAGATCCTAACTCGAAAGAATACATGTCAGCTTCCCTGGAAATCATGTCAGCATATGGCAATGATGCTACTTTAAAGACAATTTCATTAATGCAACAAGCAGTGGAAGAACTTCAATTGGAGGCTGAGAAGGTAAGAGTAGTATCAGCATTGAACATCATATAGAAGTTTCTAGCTGCAGATTTCTCCACGATCTTGTTCAATGGATAAATTTTTTAATGCTTTGCTCCTCTTCCAACGAGTTTGTCCACCGTACGATTTTACTGTATGTTTAAGAGAAATGGTAGTAAGTACGTAAATAATCACGGGTACTTCTTTTGCCACTTGAGGATAGCTAAAATGATTGGGTGCGTGGGTGTGTTATCCACGGTCGGACTTCTGCTGGTTTCATTTTTTTTGTTAAATATATATATATATATATTTTTTAATATAGTGGGAGTTAGAGATCTCCCATCACTTAAAAAAAAAAGAATATAATCATGGGTATTTCTTCTATTATGTGCTCACTTAATAATTCTTTGTATGCCTTTGCAGCTCTGGATGGAGAATAAGGCTCTCGGGGACAGTATAGTAGCTACCGAAATATCTAATACAGTGGAGGATATATCTCCTTCAGGAAGAGGACTGCCAAGAACTTCCGTTGAGGTTGGAGAAAAATTAAATTTTGTGATTTGGATTTTAGGAATTTTCTCTCTTTTCTTTCTTCTCTTTTTTAATATCTTTTTACTTTTTTAACTTTTTTGCTAAAGAGATTTTTAGGCATTTTCACTATCTGCAATTCATGGGCCAATCAGTCATTAAACTTTGTGAAGAAGGTAGTGAATGAAGTATATATGCAGTTACTTGGTGACATGCACAGGGGAAGATACATCATACATGTGATTTGTATGAAAAAATAGAGAATTTATCATTGAGAGTGTATGAGTTTGGATTTTTATTCTTTATTCTTGATAAATACCCTTTTGTTAGTGTAATTATTTGACTAAAAAAGTTATGAATAAAGAGTAATGAGTAAAAATATGACCCATGCACTTTCAAAGGGTATTTATCAAAATTATTCAATTTCTATCAACATCAATTGGGCCCATTTTTACTATAAGATCTAACATTCTTTCACATGTAAATAAGGTTAGAATTGGGATTTCGGGTGTTTTTATTGCTACTCTAACCGAATCTAATTTTGTTAAAAGATCAAGTCCCCATAGAGCTGTAAGTTTGGGCCGGGCTAAAAGGGCCGGCCCGAGACCTATTACTATTAACCCGGGCTTAGTCTGGCTTTAAATTTTTTGGGCTTAGAGTTAGGTTGGGCTAACCTTCTCTCTTTTAGGATTGGGCTGGCTTGGCTCAAACATCATATTTTTAAAGTTTTTTTTTTTTTTTTAAATACCTTATAAAATTCTGACCCGGCCTTAACTTTTTGAGCTTAAGGCCGGATTGGGCTGACCATCTCTCTTTTAAGGCAGGGTCGGGCCGGCCTGAAATTTTCTTTTAGGTTGTCGGGCCCGGATCGGACAGTCTAAACTCATACCTCTAAGTATGTTCCCACTGTTTCCCTCTCCTCTCACCTTTTGACTCTACCAAAAAGCATTTTTCACTTTCCACAACTCAATCCCTCCATCCTTTATCCATCTATCCTACCAAATAGACAACACACCCTTAGGTCAGTAAGGCCAAAAGTGAACGAAAGTTCATTTACAAAAATCTTAAGAAATGAATGTTGTAGAGAGTAAGAATGGTAGAGATGTTGTTTGCTATGAGTGAAAGAGAGTTGAAATAATAGATGATAATTGTTTATCTAATTTTTATATTATTTATTTTATTTATTTGGTAATAATTTCTTTTAAGGGCAAAATAAACTTTAAATTTTAAAATTGGATAATTGGTGAGCTCAGAGAGAAACTTTCTCCCTTGTCTCATCCATCCAATCAAATAAGTGAATTGTTCTCTTCCTCCCTCCCTTGATCTCTCTCTCCTACTAAACACACTAATATCTTTAGTAGCGGGCCAGCGGCAAATAAATGTTTTCAAATGGGGCTTGAGAGGTGAAAAGCCTGGTTAAGATTTAGGAAGCAAAACAAATGTTCAGAATTAATAGCGGGAATGTAGATGAAAGCCATAAAAATGTTGAGAAGATTATGTTAATTTTCCTCTCAGCATCGTTTTTTTTTTTTTTTTTTTTTTTTTTTTTTTTTTTTTTTTTTTTTTTTCTTTTCTTTCTGTTATGCATATTACGAGTCAATTGTAATCTCGCTTCAATAAAATGTCGAATGAGTTGAAGTTAGTTTCACTGTAATTACTCCCATTTTTTTTGCATAATGTCGGAAAACTGAAAATCAAAAGGTTCTACTTCCATAAACCACAAGGATGCATATTAAGGCCTAACCAACGCACCTATTCAAAAAAAGAAAAAAAAAAAAAAAAGTGCTAAGGCAAGGCATACAAAATAGGACAGAGGCAATAGATATAGGCTCCATTCTCTATCGGCGTAAGTTCTGCCCTTTTTGCTAATAAAAGCAGTTTGATAAGGATGAAGGATTTCGTTTCAATTTGCACATATCTTGCTAGGGGCTGCTACAAGAAGAAATGTAACCCGAGTGCTAAACAACTGTTACTTGCAATGCAAGAGAACTTTGAAACTTTGAAGCATGCATCTCGGGGCAAAATCTGTTCCCGAAAGTGTAGTGAAATAGTCGACATTTCATCATTTCATGGACTACCCTGCAATTGGTTAAAAAGAATCCCAGATTCATCATCCTTATTCTCGTCATTGTCGTTCTCAAAACTAACATCCACTGATGTTATTCCATTGTCATTGATAGCTTCATGGGAAAAACCGACGAATGATGCATATGATTGGTCTTTCAAATATCCTGCCTCCCTCAACAGTCCCACCAAAACTTCCTTGCATTCAAGATCTGCTTCTTGCTCACAAAGATCAAGGAAAGCGGACACATTAACAGGTTTTGGCCTCCAGTTCTTCGCTCCTTCAGCTGCAAAAGCTTCTTTCCAGTAGGACAATGCCTCGGAAATTCTCCTCTCTCCAGTATGGCCCGCGGCAAGAATCTCCCAAGTGGCTGAATTTGGCTTTCCTCCAACTTCAATAATGTGGTCAACGAGACTTGTGGCTTTCTCCAAATTTCCGTTTCTAACATAATAACTCATGAATAGATTTGCAATTCTAGGGTCATAAGATGACTTGACCGGCAACCATTCGTTGTAAATGTTTTCTGCTCCTTCAATATCACCTATTCGGAGTAGAGATGAGATAATTGCATGGTACCCCAAATTTGGAATGCTGGGAAAGATTGCTTTATAAACCTTCCAGACCCGATATATCTCCTCTTTGTTACCAACACTACCATAAAGACTAAGAAGATAGTGATAAGGAATCCGATCCCGACCTGTGATTCTACTCTCAACCTTCCTCAAACACTCCTCCGCCTTTTGAAACTGCCCCATCTTGATATACATTGTAGCCATTGTACTAAATGTGGTCCAGTTTGGATTAATGCTTTTATCCTGTTGCATCTGTTCAAATACTTGTTCCATCCCCTCAGCAGACCCCTGCGATCCACAACAGGATAACCAGATATTATACGAGTACACATCTAGCTGAATGTTTTTGTCCATCATTTCTGAAACCATTGCATCAACTTTCTTGTACTCCTTGAGGTTCATATAAAGTGTCATCATCACGTTAAAGGGGAGTGAATGTATGGCATAACCTTTACCTCTCATTCGATCAAGCAAAGATTCTGCCTTTTCTTTCATTCTAGCCTGCACATAGGCATTAAGCAGGGCGCCGTATATCCTCCTGTCCTTTGAAGTATCCGACAAACTCAAAAAGAAATTTTCAGCACTGGAAATACCACGGACTTTGCCTATTAAATCTAATTGAATTGCAGCATCACTAGAGGATAGCCGAAACCGCTCTCCTCTGTTGTTCATCCAATCATACACCTGCAGAAAACACGCATAATTTAAAGCCGATAATGAGACATGACCTTGAAAATGGCTGAAAGAAAATTAGAGTTTGATCATGAATGCAACAATCAAGCGGTAGGAAGACTGTCAACAATTTAAAATCTAACTGCTATTACCTGATTAAATACATATTTTTTCTTTTACAAAAAAGTAACAAGCTCAAGAATCCTAAGATTCCTTGATGATACTTTCAAGACATCGTAGGAACTTTTAAAATCTACTCTTTGTCTCACCTTTTTACTTGGTTTCATCATCCTAGTAATCTTCCAACATTGCAGTTGCACCTTTCAATTGTTATCTAAAATTTGGTATCTAAAATCTTCTTTTAAACTATAATAGTACCGTCGCCTGATGTCTTCATTTCAACCTATAAACATTAAATTTAAAAGTTATCACAATTATAGTTAGGGCGTACAGCAGCAGCAGCAGCACCTATCTATTTGTGATGTTTACGACTAACATATATGGATACAAATGTATCAAGACATGCGTGCTTGTACTCTTAAGGTTCTCCTTCTCAATCCACAGAAAAATTTACCTTCTGACACCTAAGTTTAAACTTGAACACACCAGCTTCACTCGTTCACTCACTTTTGTCCTAACCTTGGACCATGTGCACCATCCAACACTGAACCCGAAATTTTTTCCATATAGATGAATAAGATCCACATCTTTTTTCAGCCTAGAACCCCATTACGCTATCCCAAACAACTCCATCAATCTAGCAAAACAATAAATATACCAAGCAAAATGAACGCAAAACCCAATATATAGTTTACCTCAACTCTCAAAGGCATGAATATTGGTCCTGTTTGGGCCAATAGTTACTTCTGGGAGTCTTTAGATAGTGCATCAAAAGATCTTTGGCCCTCAGAAAAGCCACAAAATGTGGCTTGTCAAAAAAAAAAAAAAAAAAAAAGTTCTTCTAAACAGAATTTGAAACTTCTACTGGACTTTCAATGGGATTTTACAATCAAACTCTTAACCTTTTTATCACTTATTAGAAAATGAGGATGAAGAATTAGATCAGGATATTTTGAATTTGAATTAAATTTTGCTTCAGTGTTTCCTCTCACAAAAACTAAACCTTTTATTTAAAATATTTTGTTAAGTTTATCTTATCAGTTATCGATTTCTACGAATACCCTAGTGTGTTAAAAATGAATATTTTGAGTTTCTAGTTTCCTCCTCTTAAGTTGTTGTCCTTATCTTGAATTCCCTATTTCTTTCCTCTCGTTCTGGTTCTATTTCTCCATTCTATCTTTCTATCGCCTTGGTCCAACATCACATTGTAACTCCATTAAACTTGAAAATAGGTCCAAACACAGAGCAAAAGAAATGCCATAGACCAAACAATATTTAACAAAACCTGAATACCCCCATTAAGCACAACAAAGAACCCACCAACTCTAACACTTGAAAATAGAAAAACAGTACTTACTTACCCATCAATCAAAACAAATAAAATAGCCCAGCAATCCTAACACTACTCAAGAAAAGAAAAAAAGATTACCTCAAGAGCACGGTCAAAGCGCTTGTACTTCCTCAACTCTTTAACAACGCGACAAAGTTCCCATTTGGAGAGCTGTCTTCCCTCTCTCTCCCACTGGCTGAGGACAGTCCCAGAGCCCAATTCAGGTTTCTCCATGAGCGATATTCTCTTGTAGATGGCATTCCATTTCACCATCGGACGGCGCTCATAGTCTACAGTTCCATAGCTGTGGATTTGGGATTGGGATATGGAACAGAAAATCCCGAGCCTAAGCCTCCGATTGTGGTTTACGGAACATTGGCTGAGGCTGAAACTCGGAGCTTTGTATGGGAGGGGACGAGAGTAGGAGATGGATGATGAGAGAGAGATGTTCATGTTGGGATTTTTCAGACAAATCTGGAGAATCATTTCTTTTTATTTTCTTATAATTTGCGTTCCCTCTTTTCTTTTTGTGTGGAACTATGAAACGAAACAGAGGTCCGGTCGGAGAGAGGAGTTTAGGTCTGTCTGCACTGTGGACAGAGGTCGTAAAGCAGTGGGATTTTTTCACTGTTGTTGTTGATAGAGCTTGCGAATTTACATAACTATCCAATTTGCTTAAAAGGATATTTATCCGGAAATTGTAATGAAAAGAATACACCACTTGTTAAAACCACTAAACGGGGTAAATTATAGCATGTTTTTAGTTTTATTTTCCTAATTTACCCTTAATTTTTTGAGAATAAAAGAAATGTGCTAAATTGTAAAAATTATAGGGGCATAAAATTAATAAGCCACATTATAAAATTTTGAAAGAGAGTTATCGAAAAGAGATTAAGAGCCACAACTACCATCTGAGGCAACCAATTTGGCTTCATGCCAGGCAGATCAACCACGGAAGCCATTATTCTTCTTAGGATGCTGATGGAAAGGTACAGAGAAGCTATGACGGACCTACATATGGTCTTTCTAGATTTAAAAAATGCATATGATAGGGTGTCGAGGGAAGTTTTATGGTGGGTGCTAGAAAAGAGAGGAGTGCATGTGAGGTATATTAAGGTAATTAAGGACATGTACAATGGAGTGGTCACGAGTGTGAGAACTACTAGAGGCTACACAACAGAGTTCCCCATTCGGATCGGCCTTCATCAAGGATCTGCTTTTAGTCCTTATCTTTTCACCATCGTGATGGATGAGCTGACAAGAGAAATCCAAGATAGAGTTCCTTAGTGTATGCTTTTTGTGGATGATATAGTTTTTGTTGATGAACATAGAGAACGAGTTAACCGTAAGTTAGAACTGTGGAGACAGACTCTCGAGACAAAGGGATTTAAGTTAAGTAGGACAAAAACTGAATACATGCATTGTAGGTTTAGTAATTCAAGTAATAAGAGTGATGGAATTTTTTTAGATGGTGTGGAGATTGGAGCTTCTAGGAAGTTTAGGTACCTTGGGTCTATAGTGCAGTACGAAGGAGATATAGAAGAGGATATTCAACATAGGATTAAGGTAGGGTGGGTTAAATGGAAGAATGCTACGAGAGTTTTATGTGATGGCAAGATGCCTATTAAGTTGAAAGGAAAGTTCCATAGGACTATAATCTGTCCAGCTATGTTATATGGTAGTGAATGTTGGGCCATTAAGAGACAACATGTATCTAAGATGAGTGTGATAGAAATGCGTATGTTAAGATGGATGAGTGGCCATACAATAATGGATCGCATAAGGAATGAAGTTATTCGTAGTAAAGTAGGTGCAGCACCAATAGAAGATAAGGTGCGCGAAGGCCGCTTGAGGTGGTACAGGCATGTCCAACGTAGACCGCTAGAAGCACCAGTTTGTGCTTGGGAGGACATTCTTTTACCTAATACTAGGAGAGAGAGGGGTAGACCAAGAATTACATGGACCGAAGTCGTTAGGAAAGACATTCTAGATCTAGGCCTTCAGGAAAGTTTAATTTCAAACAGAATCGTGTGGAAAAGTGAAATCCATATAGCCGACTCTAATTAAGTTGGGATTAAGGCTTATTGTTGTTTTATGATCTCACCTCTCTCTCCTCCCTCCACCTTTTTCTCCCTCCACAGTGGCCTTCAGAGGACTGTCTTCGCTAGAAGCGCGATCTCCACCGTTGCCGCCTTCTAAATCCCCAGCCACGTGATTATCGCAAGGAAGAACTGATCTCTTAATCCATCTCCTTCACAGCTCCGGCAATAGCCACCAATGGCGGCGACGGCAAATTTTGTTTCTGTTTTTGAGAGACTGAGGAAGAGAGAGAGCATATCTAGGTTTTGGATTTAGAAATTAAGTGGGGGTAATTTTGGTATATCATAATATAGTAAATCAAGATTTATTAATAATGTGCTATTTATTACTCACCTTAAAGGATTATGATATTAACTCTTAATGATCCTTAAATTATGTCATTTCTCTCCTCCTATTTATCTTTAGTCACTTTTTTTGATAGACCCTCTTTATTTATCAGTCAATTTCGAACGGTTGAGTCTAGTCAAAATCATATCAAATTTAAACAATATACAAAATAAATAATTTTTGAGGCATAACAACTAAAAATAAGAAATCGCTAATAAAACATTTTTTTTCCTAGTCCTACTAAAGACTTTCTTATCTTTATCATATATGAGTTTATAAGGTAGAACAAAAAAAAAACTACTAATGGTATATTTACTTACTAAGATTGAGGAATGAGAGTTAATCTCATGTTTACTTATTCTTTTTTATTTTATAATGAGAGACTAGGAGTGAGATTGGTGGGCCCTACTCAAATGTTAGATTGAGGAATGAAATTGACATTTTCATGTCCCCCTTTGAAATTAAGACTCTCATTCTTGATTTTAACATTAAATTACAATCATGCCTCTATTTTACTTATAAATATAAAATTCAAAATAAAATTCAAAAAATAATAATTACAACCTAGATTTATTATTTTATTTGCCTAATATTATAATATTAGCCTAATTATTATTAACTTTAATATAATAAATATGTACTTTATTTTGTTTAATAAATTAATAACATATTTTAATTTTTTAACACTATTTTTTTCTTTTTTTTATTTAAATATTGACCATTTATTTTTATATTTGGAATAATTGTATAATTTATATTTACAATTATATTACCCTATTATTATACTAAATATTTTAATTATGATTAGTTTTAATATAATAAGTACACAAAAGGATATATTAGTACTTTGACACTAGTTCATTCTGATTCTGGATGTAAGTTAATACATGAATGAAATTTAAAGCTTGTTTAGTTCGTTGATTCGAGTTTTTAATTTGAGTTGAGATGTGGCTTTATGTGAGCTTTTTACTGTAGCAAAACTCGAATCGGTGAAATGAACAAGACCTTAGAATGACTCTAATTCCAAATCATGTTACCAAATAAACAACTTATTCCGACTTCAATTCCCCACTTTGAATCGTACCCATTCTAAATCCTACCTATTCTGATTCATGTCAATCTGATTACGCGTAACTAAACATGCCATAATAGTTTGAAGTGAAACTACAAGAAGAAATTTTTTTTTTTTTAAACAAGAAGAGATAGTTTTTGACCTTTTTATTGTAAAGATAGTATCCTACTTATTCATCTTTATTGTATCCGCCGCAATGAAACGATCACTCAATACACATTTTATTGGAATATCCGCCGCAATGAAACGATCACTCAATACACATTTTATTGGAATATCCGCCGCAATGAAACGATCACTCAATACACATTTTATTAACCAATCAATTGACTGATATCCGATGCCTAACATAAAACATATCTGGAAGAATCACAAAACATATTGTTTGTGTTAACATAGTCGGGAAAAAAATCGAAACAAAATAAAAACCATCAATTTAAAGTTGATGAACAGGATACTAGCTGGTAAAACGGCGTTTGGCGCAATAAAGACAAAAACGGAAATGAAAACGATTTTTTAATTTAGTGTAAAATGAGAAAGAAATGAAAAACGACTTTTAATTGTTTTTCATTTTTTATTTTCGTTTTCTCCTCTCTCGAGCAGAGAGAGAGAGAGAGAGAGAGAGAGACATTAATAAATTTTTTTATATTAAAAATAATCTCTTAATAAAATTACCAAACGCATTTTCAAAAATGATTTCTATCTGAGATTGAAAACGTTTTCATTTTTATTTTCATACAAAAAATAAAAGTATTTTAAAACGAGTTCCAAACACGCCTGTAAAGTCGCTCAAAAATGCATCTCACACACGATTTAGGAGTAGCCTCTTTAGTCCTGTTATTTTGCATAGATGTAGATATTAAATTCAAACATGCATACTTTGACGAAAAAAGGATGGTCAATCTTGAGCAAAATTATGCTGGCAACAATGTGGAATGCTTTTCCCATAAAAGTAATCTGGTTTTTGAGAGGCAAATGACATTGATAGGTTGATTCCACACTTCAGGGCAATTTAATCACCTACCACAGTAAATGGTATGATGTTTTATGTTATCTTATCACACAAGTTTCACGAGCATCCCGGCCAGTTTCTATGCATGACATCTTCGTTTCGTGTATTTCCAAGAACATAGACTTTGGGCTTTCGGACCTGCAGTGAGTATATAGCAGTGAACATTCACTGAAGACGGTATATCCATCTTGCTTCATGAAGAAGAAAATGTAAATTCCTACCAGTGAAATGGGTGTAATGCCGTATTGGAGACGAACTTTTGAGAATCCATCAACAGTGAATAGACACTTGAATCCATGGACGGTAGGATGTTCACTGTTACAAGTCAAGAAAACGCGAATACGGTCTAATCTCAAAACAATTAAACATTTGGGGATGACAAACATGAATATATACAACTTGAACCGTGACCTCTATTCCTATAATAAACTAGGAAGGCGTCCCGGTGTTATTTATATCCTTTCATAATTGACAACATGTGAAAGTAGATGAGGGGAAAAAATGGCATTAAATATGTACTGAGAAGCGCTCATAATGTATGCTAGGCCATTTTTCATGTTGACAACTCTCCGAGTTAAGTTAGCTTTATCGAGTGTAGTACTTTGTTACTCAAAGCCAGTTAACTAAATCAACCTGTCAAACATCTAGAAAGCTACAATCCAACAGATGAAAGGACTCAGTGGATTCTTAATGTTATTTTCACTTTTATCAGCAGCACGTAGAACCAATGGCTAGAAAGCTGTCATTCAAGAATTCTCTTGTTCACAGAAAACTCAGAAATTTTAAGAAACTCACGTTATGAGGTAGGTGAACTTTCTCAGGCATAGTTCTCCTTCAGGAATTCCTTCCTCTTTAGAATACCTACAACATGATGGATTAGTATGATTGTTAACTGATATACACATCTTCATTGCTTCAGAGATTGTTAAGCATACACTCAAAAATGAAGCAAATACTACTTGTGAGGTATTATGTTATTTTTTCAAATTGAACAAGTTGCATATATTTCTGCCTTTTTTTCATAATTTCTAATTGCGCTGAATTGTTCACTGGAAGTAGACTTATGCATATCTTATTTCTATCAAAATGTGAAGCCGAGCATCAAATTATCTCTACATTTCTTCTTGAAACATTTCTTTGATGCATCAAAACTTTCTTTCAGTACAATAGCAGTAAACAATTCCAAGGCACAAACGTGTCCAAAGAAAAATCAGAGTAGATGCCAATCTTCCGTCGGTTTTTCAGCTTTATATCAATATATATATATATATATATAGGTTGATTACGTGAAACAATAATTTATGACCTAGTGATAAATCAACAGCTACACATAGGGTTGTATGGTTAAGTATATAAGTCCTCTTCGCAAGCTGCTATTTTGTCCAAGAAATTTATTAAAAGTCAACGACTGTTACCATATATCTACAGCAAAAGCTTAGATCATTGAAAGTATTATAAGTTTGGATCATAATGTGTCCAGAAAGGAAAGTATTCCAAAACAGAAATAATAATACTATAATGCATAAACTATGCCAATATCACATATACCTCCATGGAAAATCATTTTCACAAAAGCGTGATATTCCACTCATGGCTGAAAATGTGTCAATATGTACCCATTGTTCCCTTGTGCGGTTAGCAAGATGACCTGCTTGAAGCGTAATCCATAAGAATTTTGAATTTGAGGCATCACAAAAAAGGTCTATAATACATCTTCGAGTATATAGTACTGTAATAATTACAGTTTAAGATCAAAGAGCAGATATGGACACAAAATATGAAGGTCTCTAGGATTTTAAGCAAGGGAATGATAATTCAAGTACAAAAACATGGGGGGAAAAATAAAAGAAAAGAAGCGGAGTGGAGGATGCTAATAATTACATTTGAAATTTAAATGGTTAGCCATAGATATGCTAAGAGTTCCATCAATCAGTTAGACTTGGAATATGACGGAGGTTGATCCAGAAAGAATATATAATCTATAATTAGAGATCAAACCAGAAAGCTTTGCCACACAGTTCCAGACTTCGGTTCAGAACAAATGCGAGTTGCCAAAATTAGTGCAAGAGTATCTTTATATCAGAACTATATAAGTCCTGTTCTTTGCAACCAATTCAGGTAAGGAAAATGCAGATGATTCAAATGGATACGAGTAAAACTACGCAAATGGGCTTGTACACAAGAAGCATGGCCGTTTGAAAGAAACAGTAAGAGAGAGAGAGAGCATACCAAGTTGATGCAAACTTTTCAAAGCATGACCACTGGGGTAATTCTCATAGGATGCCATGAAGGTTATGGTGGTGCAACCTAGACTGCAAAAGTGGAAGTAAGTACAAGAGGAAGATACCAAAGGATTAATAGAAACACTCCTCCATAATTGAACAAATCAAATATTATACCTGATTAAAAGTAACCCGGGCATCATAAAGTAGAGCAACTTCCAGAAAGCTTTTTTCCTGTTGTTATAGCTGTAACAAGTCAAAGAAGTCATCTATTTGTTATATACCCAGAAAGCCATGGGCAAAATGCTCCTAATATATCTCTTTTGTCCTGTTTTCATTTACTTTGCTTTCAAAGGCATTGAGCATTTAAAAGGCATCATAAAAGGATATTGTTCATTTTGAGCTTTCATCTATTGAACAATATTTCAGTGCTCATATCAAAATACCAAAATATGTCGTCGAACGAAAAACGCATAATCGGGCAGGACACCAAAAGCCATATAAGATTCGGTGTGTTAAAGGCTCAGGAAAATGTAAAATGACATTTTAATACTGATACTGAATCTGCACAATGTTGAGCTGCTTATATATGAACAAAAGATAAAACTAAGTAGTCAAACAATCACAATTGCAAAGAAATTGACAATGAAAAGATAAAAATTTCAAAGAACAACAAATTTAAAATGGACACCACACACATTCTACTAGCGGCAATTGCAGCAGATAAGTTGAAGACTGGAACAGAGCTGATAATAAAACGGAGCTCCTGGATCACGAAAAACAGAAAACTTTTGCATTGACATTCCTGAAACTTGAAAATTTGATAGTCATCATTTCACAAATTGTTGATTACTAAATGATACCTTGTGGGGTAGCTTTGAGTAAAGTAAGACAAAAGATAAAACAGGAAGAACGAATAATAGAACCCTTCTGTCAAGTAAGACACCAAGCTGCAAAAAAGAATGTTTGTCAACTTAAGAAAGAAAGAAGAATTGAGGTGGGATGCGGGAGGGAAGATTGGAAATTGTCCATTGCACAGATTTAATAGAATACAAAAGGCTCTAGCATCCAGCATGTTTTTTTTTTTTGGGAAAAAAACATCATATCCATTAGCATGAGTTTAGTATCCCATCCCCTCCCGGTTTGATTTTTTTATATCAATTATTAGTTTCCGTTCTACCCCTACTGGAAAACCTATGCATTAGCATCTCATTCATTAAGAGACCTAAATAACAAATAAATCTTTATGTTTCCAAAAACTTATAAATTTCATGGCTAAGCTTTTCTTGAAATGGAAAGCAATATCTACATCCCAGTAACCTCTCCTCACATGTATGAATATTGAAATACCACCAAGAACTTTTTACTCTTTTTTGCTATTACACCAGAATAATATAAGAAGAAGAATGGTATCAAGAGTTGTAAAGAGGTAAAAAGCCAACCAGAAAAGAATGGAAGACATTGCATAAATCATAATCCAATAAGCAAAATAAACCCAAAATAGAACATAACACCAATGCCAATAGTTGGTTCACTCCCCCATTTTATTAAACGAATAAGCTTCCCATGGTCCATCTATCAGTGAGGGGAATAACATACCAAACATGTTGGGGGGGAAAAAAAACTGAATAGCACAATAACTTTGTAAAACTACATCAAATACAAAGCCTTTGATTGACTAAAATACAATGTATAAGCTATGACTTGAATAAGATTCTTGATAAGAAGCGTTAATCAAATAAGATTAGCAACAACGGTTAAAAAAAGAAAAAGAAAAAATAAAGAAAGGGTAAGGATCATATTAAACAGTATGCCCGTTAGTAGAAATCCAGAAGACTCACCATAAAAAGAGGGAAAGCAGCTAGCAAGGAGCGGGGGAGTGCTGATGTGAAGTACCAGTGAAATGTATGCGTCTGAAGAAAAAAAATTATCAAGGAAAACCAAAAATAATGTTTTATTTAAGTACTTATTACACTTTTCTGCAGAATCCTTTCACCCAGCACAGACAAGTTCATATTCACAAAGAAAATTAAATTATGGGCAGCTCTATGGGCTTCCCAGACTAAAGAACTCGAGGGGTTTTCTTTTCTGATTTATTAAGGGATTGGAATGCTTTTTTTTTTTTTTTTTTTTATAGATCAGGTTCAATATGGTACCTGTACAGTTTTGTTTTGGTTGTGTTGATGGTAAGGTGATCACCAGTTTATATTTTAGTGCTCTTCAAGGACTCCTTGTCCTTCTCTTCTGTGTAAACTTTTACTACATTATTTATCAATGAAAGATTCCATCATTTCTTATATAAAAACAAAGAAATAAATAAAAAGATCTTCTATTAGTGCTGCAGTCCAGTACGCAAACAAAATCAATCACAACTCAATCATCTCACTCCTATTTAAAAACAGATCCACTCCCCAACTCTGATCGTTGTACAATTATCAGGACAACCCTATTCCCATAACATTATATTATGAAAGAATATGCACAAGAAAGAATTAGAAAAATCAGAGTAAAATAGTTTCAATCATTTCCATTTAAAGGATACACCCCACTCAGAGCTTCGATTCAGAACAGAGTTGAACCAGAAAACTTCAAATTCAGGCCACAATAACCTTCTCCACATAATTGAATCAATCAATACAGTAAGGCCTGCACTGTGAAGAATTCAAAACAATACTATTGATTCATGATTTATTGTGGGGCAATCAACTTGTAGAAGCGGAAAGGGAAACTGAAAAACTAAAACAGTATTAACGAACCTATGCAGAACAGAGCAAACCAAAAGCAGCATTTCAGTGTTTCCCACAGCGAAATTGATTTAGTCTGTCATTGAAACAAAAATAAATATTATGAGAAGCCACAAAGTAACAAAAATTTACATTGATATACCTAATGTAATTGATAATAAATCATAAGAGTAATTAGGAAGTGGTACAATTTTTAACTTTAAAAGAATCAATACCAATAACCTACAGAATATAGATGAATGAATTCTACGAAAATATGCGGTGTTCAGTAAAATATTAGTCTAAAAAACAAGAAGAGTTTAGAAGAGCCAATAAATGTTTAAAAGTCCCTGCCCTCACTGTATGGTCTGTGATGCCACAAATTACTCATTTGATAGTCAATACAGAACTATAATGTGTTGGTCTATTAGGAGCATTATCTTAAGAATCAGCAGCTGAAAGGTGAATACCACGGATAGGAACAAAACACATGTAGGTCAGCCTTTGGGCAAGAGGAAACAATTAAGGTAACCCAGAAAAAAAATGACAGAGGAATTCACTAAGAAGGTTTAAAGGAACTACCATGGCCATAATAACGTGTTACATGTTACATGTATCCTAATAATTGAACAAGTCAACAACAATAATAACAGACACAAATTAAGAACATAAATCATCATTTGCTGTGAATTCTGGTTGTTATCAAATTTACTGCTGGGTATCTAGACTTTCCTACTAGGGTATTTTGTGCCTTGAACTACTCCTCTCCATGACTTTTCAACAAAATAGGGCAGAAATTTCAATGATCCCTTTGGACTTCTTTTAATACAATGCACTAACTGTCAATAACTAAATCTTGCTCTTTTATATGTTCATATAGCAAGAAAACATCAAGGTATGGTTATAGAAAAACAGCTGGACAAGTGTATTGAAAAGTTGCTTTTTTAATGGGCACAAAATGATTTTCCAGCTTAACACGTGAAAAGGAGATGTAATAAAATGTAGCTCAGGGTATGAAACATAACATACCAACAAAAGTTCCAGGCCGAGAGGGCCAAGAAGTAAGAGGATATCACACCTAAAGACAATTGTAGCAAAAATCTGATCATTGTAAAACAGAGAGCTGTAAGAAGAAAATATAAAGGAAATGCAACAATTAAATACAAGTTCTGAAAATTTTTTTTTTTGAAAACCTGCACTAGAGAAGCAATATTGTATCATGCGATATAACTAAAGCACATCACAACTGATGCTTCTACGAATGGAGACATACCAGACAATTTAAAGCCGCATAAACCTTCCCCTTGAGCCAAAATGCATATGCCAAGTTAACTACAAACGTAAAGTGACAAGTAATAATTAGGTCAACAGAAGTGACTATCACCTGGGCCTCTCTACTTTCTTTTCCTCATCCAGAAGGTGCCTCTTTATTCTTTCAGAAACAAAATACTCGAGAAACAACAGACACAAAAAAAAGAAATGAACTGCATGAAGTAATTACCTACACCCAAAGCTAGTATATTTGGCAGTGGACGAGTACAATAGAACAGCAAGTGAAACTGAAGTGCAGTCAGTATTACAAAGAACGCTTCCACTTGATGTCCAAACTTATCTCTGACCTGATAAAATTAATTTTCAACTCAACTTACCTTAGAAATTGGAAAAGGATAAGTACATGCAAATAAACAAAATCTATCAGAAGTATTCAGAACATACCTGAAGCCGGAAAAGTCGTAAGGTAGATAATATGATGCAACCTAGGGCGAGACGAACTGGAGAATAAAAGTAAAATAGTTACCTATTGTTATGTTATTACAAATATAAACATAATGGGAAAACTATAAACAGAAGAATTTGTAAACTCCATAATTCTATTTAAAAAAAAAAAAGGCAAACTGATCAATGTGAGCATTGATTTCTAGTTGAAGACTACCCAAAATGCCTCAGATTCCCTCAAACGCTTGTCTCATAATGGCATTACAAAATAATTACCAGGTAAATGTGCTCTCACCATTCCCATTTTGGAAACTACCATACTGTTGTCACCATTCCCACTCAGTGCCACTCTCACTAGTGAAACTTTTATTTTATTTTATAATTTTGGGATAGCCATTTTTTCTTCACCCTATCTCCCCACCATCTCTGTGAAACCAAAACAATCAATTAATGCACTATCCTTTCCATCATCTTGCTCTTAACTTGCACAGATCATTCAAGAGCTCAACATAGTGCATTAGTGGGAATACATTATAGTTGCTAAAGCATCTGGTCATTAGATCACTTGCTTGTTTATTGTCCTTCTTCGATAAGTTATGGTTTAAAACGCTGAAGGATTCAATATGGTTTGGGAGCCTCCAAAGGTGTGTGGAGCTGTTTAGGGGTGATTCTTTGTATTGATGTTAGCCAAAGCAGAAGAAAGTGGTGGAATGTGGCTGTAATGGCACTTTGTTGGGCGTTATGGTTGGAGAAATAAGAGTTATTTTGATGATACTGAAGAAGATTCCGACAGTACTTAGGAAAGTGTTGAGCTTTGGGTAGCTTTGTGGTTATATGGTGAAATGAAAAAAGATTATATAATTTTTTCTATGTTCTGTTTCATTAAGAGATTGTTCATGTTTGATGTAATTTTGTTGTTCTTGAAGGATTTGTCATCTTTTTCCAGTTTTGCGTTTATTCATTTCTTCATTCATATAAATCTCTGTTTTATTAAATAAATAAACAAATAGTACATGTCTATAATTAAAGCATCTAAAGAACTGACCTGCGACGAGGCCATAAAGCTTTGGCACGTGCAACAAGTTGAGTAGTAGTATAACAGGGGATGCCAAACTTGATACAAGCAAGGCGCCTACAGGAATAGACATGACATGGAAAAGAGTGAAATGACTTGGGAAGTAAGATATTGAATCAGAAGACTAGTTCCCAATAGCTTCTTTTTTTTTTTTTTTTTTTCCTTTTACAGAACATAATGCTTACTAAAGATGTATAAATACAAATAAATCCGCACGCATAAGTGTAGGCACGTGACTTTACTCTTACATGGCAGAGAATGAGATGAAAGAACAAAAAAATTTCCCTCTCTAATATTGAGGTACCAAATAAAACACCATAACAGATCATAAACACCCCAGAAATTAAACTTTAAATTCCCTAAAAAAGGAAATTGCAGTAGAAATCTACAGAACGTAATGGGGTGTGGTTTTTTTTTTTTTTTTTTTTTGCCCCGGCAAAATCATTCCACCATATCTAAGCTTAAGAATATTGAATATCACAGGCTTACCAATGAAAGTGCGAGGAACCACCCCAGGGAACTCCAAATGATCATACTGATATTGAAAAAACAAGGAAAAAAATAAAATTCAGTGGAACAGGTACGACGAAAATTCCAAAGTATCACATCCCATAATAGGCAGAACTACGTAAAGATAGAAGAATGAGCTTACATTGTCCAAGTGATGTCGGTGATATAGGATATCATGCATTGCCTTTTAAAACAAAATTTGACCAAGAAGAAAGTTAAGTTAGCAAGTGAAAAAACCAAAAAAGCCAAGAATAACTGCACAACTAGGAAATCCTAAAACTTTGAACACTCAGCAATAGAGCATTACAACCCTGCTTCCCGGGGACATTTTATTTTTTTTAGCCAGTATGCAACACTACAATCACACATCTGTTTCCAAAACTATTTTACCTTCCACTTTTCCTTTCATCTGAAGCTACAAATACTCCCATCATTTTTTTCCTCACTAAGAAACATTCTTATTTATACTGAAAATAGTACAAAAAGAGAAGAGGACAAGGTGTCCTCAAGAATCAAAACAAAAAGAAGAATAGAAACTAACATGTTTATCAATTAAGCTTATCACATCCTAGAGTTTCCTGCGTTGAGTTTGTTATACCAACTGTTAATATCTGAAAAGCGACGTAAAATCCCAGAAATTTAAATATTTTCTTTTATTTCCTACCATTTCTCTGAATACAAAGGGAAACCGCTTAAAACGTATTAGTTTTTATCAACGATTAATGACGAGTATTTCCGACATTCGATCAAAGAAATAAACAAAACCCAAAAATCTTATCTCTTCTCTCAAAAATTAAGTTACTTCCGGACATTATTCCTCCGAAAAGAACAAACCCAATTCTACAAATCAGAGTTTCTTCCATTTTCTTACAGTTCGGTGCCAAACAGCCAAACATGAATAGAGAAGTTTAGTATGAGAAAATCAAAGCTTACCTGGACGTTGAAGCTCTCTTCAACTTTTGTGTATGGAACGGTAATAACGTAAAATGCAGCTATTGAACCCAAAAGCATATCATAGCCGTAACATTTCAGAAACTTTGACGAGTCGAGAGCCATTGTTACTGCCACTTAGAGAGAGAAGAGAGAGAGAGAGAGAGAGAGAGAGAGAAGAAGAAGAAGGAGGAGGAGGAGGAGGCTCGCACTAGTAAGTTGGGCCGCGTTAAAGTGAGAGTGGGCTTTTGTCATTTGTTGTTGGGCTCTTTAGAAATAAATAATACTTCCTACTTTTGTCTACTAGGCAGCACGTAGTGGAATTGTGAACTAAAGAGTTAATTTTGTGGAGAATTTTTCATCAAATTTTCAGTAAGTTTGATTTAATTATCATATTTTCTAATCTGATATGATTATGATTTCATCTATTTTTTAAAAATGTTTTATATGAACAGGATATATTGACATTTTTCATACATTACGACAAGGGAGTAAACAAAAAATGCCAATCAAAATAGTACTAACATTTGTGCCATCAAAATAGCATACTAAATTTAAAATATATCTTTTCTGGATTAGTTAAAAATAATTTTAAATGGCACAAATTTATATTTTGAATGGCATAAATGTAAAGATATATAGCAAAAAATAATGATGGTATATTCAAGAAGTAGGTCAAGAATTTTTTTTTAAATGCTTCTCCTTAACAAATCAAAAAGATGATTTATATGAAACATATATTTAAGAAGTTCAAACTTTTAAAATTAGTAGGTCAAGAATTGTTTTTCCCTTTTTTTTTCATTTCTTTTGCCTTTGGCTTTGTTTCTTTTTGCCTTTCTTTCTTCTTTCTCTCTTTTTTCCAATAATTTGTATAACTATTGTTTTAAAAATTAAATGTCCGCACGCGTTTTAATAAGTGATTATACATTTAAAGAACCAGTGATAATCTATGTCTTAAAAACCAAGAAAGAGAGGAATTTATAAATTAAAATTTTCAACAATTATTCATTTAGGTTTTAAAAACATTTGAAGAAATTTCCTTCTCAATTGAGGAGAGAATCCCATAGTTCCCAAAAACAAATTTTCTAATAGGGAGAAAGAGATGAAAATTCATATCTTTGTGTTCAAAATGATAATGTTATAATTTTTTTAAAAGGTTAATGGCTATGTTTGTCCCTAAATTTTGAATAGAGTAATATTTTGGTCCCTGAATCTTTAAATAAATATGAAGTGAAAAATTCTCAAACTTAGATTTTAATGAGATTGACTAAACAACATATAAACAAATATGAAGTACAAAATTCCCAATCTTGATCCTGAACATATCAATTTATTTCTCCACGATTAAGGCAATTTCATTGGTTACTCGAAATATGACACATGAATAGATGAGAAAAGGTTAGAAATAACCGAATGCCATGTTTATTAATTACGAGCAAGAAATGAGAATCAAAATCTCATATTTTCTTAGTTCTCACTCATTTTTATAATGCAATGGTAGTGAAATTACTGAACCCACATAAATTTAGAATGAAAGAATGGGACTGTAATTCCACCGAACCCACTATCCTCTCTGAATTAGCTAGGACTCCTTTCCTACCTTTCATTTACCTACAAAATAACAAATAGAAAAAGAAATGAGAAAAATATATAAATATTATTGTTTTATTTGCTTAACATTATAACAACTTGTCCTGATTTCAACTAACTTAATATAATAAGTGTACAAAATTCAAAAATAAAATATACAACTTATTTTTTTATATAATATACTTTAAGTTTTGACTTTATTTGTAATTTTTTTGTTTATTTAATTTCTCACTCCAATTCTTTTTAAAACAATTACACAACTTTATATGTACTATTTTATTGTCTAATTCATCCCGATTGTGAGTTTTAAGTAACGATATTTGTAATAATTTCGAATTTGAATCCTATAATCTGAAGTAAACAACTTATACGGACTTTAAATCTTTCTTCCAATCCTCATCGCTCCGTATCACCACCATAAATACCCAAGAAAAGCGGTCACACTATAACACATATATGTATATATTTTGGAGGACCATTGGTTAAGTATTAATTTGAAATTAAAATTAACACCGTTTTTATACAGGCAACAAAGTTGGTGAGGATAGTTGAGTCTCACCTTCAAATTTGAAAACACTTTATTTTATTTTATTTTGTCTTTCCTCCGTTTTTTTTTTTTTTTTTTTTTTTGAACTTTTTCATTTTGTATATGAAATAAAAGGGTACGTGATGACAATGGTTTGGAGACAAAAAAAAGACCCACCAAATAACCAATGGCTCACTCTATCATCATGAGATTTGGAAGACTATAAGAATTGATTAAAATGCCATGATTGTTGCATGGAATTCAGCATTTCTTTATTTTGCCCATATGGTAATCTTTTGGGACGATCATTTATTACGCTTTTGAATGTTGAATTTGGAAATCATGAAGATGTCGGATCCGTAGCTAATTAACTACTGCACTTTCTTTTCTTTTTTTTTTCTCCTTTTGCTGGAAGAATTTCTTGTTGCAATATTATATTCTGGATAATTATATATCATTCCTTTCTGTTTCTACTTTCTACTTTCTAGTGATCATCAAAGAAACATGATCCTAGCTATTCCACTTAAGATGAAAATTAAAATTCGGTTGATTTATTCAGTTTCTTCCGATCCAGTCATGCATGCACCGTTGATATATATCATCCAACAAAAGAAGAATACTACAGACGGATCGATATATGACCCCTTCGTTTGCATATATTATATATATTTATATATATCTATATATATATACCGTAATTAGCTTGTTCGACGACGAGAGAGAGATCAACGTGGAGTCACATATAAGACGGAGGTTGTCTTCGATTTAAGAAGAAGAAGTGATGAAGGAGGCAGCTGTAAGTTGTCAAATGTGGGTACTAGGGTCTTTTTAAGGGAGGCCACTATTTTTTTCTTTTTTCGTTTCTCCTAACATATATAACAAAGAAAAAGAAAAGGGTCTTTTTTCTTTTTCCAATATATATATATATATATATATATGCGTGTATAGTTTACGTATACATATGTATGTATAATTTGTCTATATATACACCTTAGCAATAAAAGAAACGGTTAAATCATCTCTAGTTCATATATAATTTATGTATATGTACACCTTTGATAGCTCATTATATATATTGGAATAACTATTAAAACCACACCCTTTACCCTTTATGTATACACACTAATTTCTTCTGATGAAGCAAGATAGATTGTTTGATTCTCTTTCTTGCGTATCAAAATAGATTTCATACGTATACCAAGAAAAATAAAATCAATCTTATACATATGGCTACAAACATACTATGGGCCAATATAAATACGTGTCCACGCTAATTAATTAGGTATAAGACACGTTTTCTTTAATTTAAAATATATGACTATACTACTTAATAAAATGTAAACCAATTTAATTAGATACGTTAATTTCTCATATTCATGATATGTACAATAAAAAATAAGATAAGCTACACTTTAAAGTCCTTTTACTGCAAAATCATAGATTCGGTAGCAAAAAACAACCTTTCTCTACTAAATTTAAAATTTCGTAGTAAAATTTTTTATTCTGGTACCAAACTTTGGTAGCAAAAAACTGACTAAATTATTTTTAATGCTAATACTAATTTTCTTAAGCAATATATTTTACTGTTATCTTTCTCCTGTAAGTTGTTGAAAACCATCTACGTTATACTAAGCATGTACATAAAAGAATTACAAATAATCTTATCTATATAGGGTTACATCATAATATATATACCCTATGCATCATACATATATATATATATACTAATTAGTTAGAACATGCAATTCTCTACAATATATAAGTAAATTATTTAATGGAATGTAACTTGATGCAAATATGTATTTGGACAATATTAAATAGGTTATTTTCACTTATTCATGACATGAACAATAAAAAAAACGATAAATGTATACAAATATTATTTTGAGACCAAATACTGTAGTGGCACCATATTTTTTGCTATCAAATAATTTTAGTAGCTGAAAATGTGTTTTTGAGACCAAAATGTCAAAAAACTTAGGCTCTGTTCATTTCACCGATTCGAATTTTGCTACAGTAAAAAATTCTCAGAAACAGTCACATCTAAATTTTTTATTACAGTAAAAAGCTCTCACAAAAAGTCACATATCAACTTGAATTAAAAACTCGAATCAACGGAACTAAACGGACCCTTACTTATTTGATACCAAAATATTTTAGTCTTAGAAAAAGTCTTGTCACTATGTTTTCTGCTACTAAAAATTTTTTGGATAGCGGAATCGTCATATTTTCTATGATCAAATTTGGTAGTAAAAACTCGTTAACATTCTACTACTAAAATTTGGTTTCTAAAAACAGTTTTTTGCTACCCAACAAATTTTGGAAGCAACAACTTTGATAGCAGAAAAATCAATTTTCTTTGACTTTTGTATTACCAAACAACTAGTTTATACCAAAGCATAGATTAATTTACAACAGTAAATAAGAACATAAGAATTTCTTGCACACACGTGAATCTTGAGATAAATAATTTTTAAAGAGGTTGATTCTGTTGTGCACTTGATTACCGCATTGTCCTTGTAATATATATTTCCAACTCATATCTTATCTGTTCACATATATCATTCTCTCTTTTTTTTTTTTTTTTTTTTTTTTGTCTAAATGAATGGACATGTCATTGATCTTTTTCACTTTGTCGGCCGATATGGTTCACAAGATACTTGACATGCGAATCTACTACGGCAAAAGCAAGCGTTATTTATTTATTTATTTTATTATTGGATCTATTTCCACATTCCACACCATATACTTTAAGAAACAGAAGGAAGAATAAATATGAGATATTTTTAATTTATTTTTTCATAGTTGAAGCTACCTTTTCTACTTTTTCATCCTGCTCCCAAATTGTAAAGTTCAAGGATGTAACAGATGTAGGATGTATGGACCGACTCTACGAAGACTAGATTAAGATTCTTTATTTCACAAACGTTCCTTGAAAGATTCTGCTTACGATAACGTGGATATATATATATATATATATATATATCTTTCAAATATTCACTAATTCAATTAAATA